ATAAAGCCATAAGATAAGTAACTTTTATTAGATACAAATATTTCCTTTTGGTACTTGCCCAACAATCAGTGCAGAAAGTAAATACACCCACATTTAAGATCTTGTAGACTTATAACAGTGCAACTCTGTCAACATTAAAATATTAAAATAAGTTTCCTCTCGTTGCGGTGCGTTTAGAAATTTATCAATAGTGTTGCTATAGCTTTCTCCTTACATAGATGCCAATCCACAAATAAATAGACTTGAAGCAGGCAAATTACTATTCAGAGATGTTTGCATTATCACACAAGAAAAAGGTAAGAAATATAACATTTCAGATAGACTTAAGTGAATTGTTGCTCAATAGCAGTTTTACGTCATCACACAAACAGTGCTGAGCATTCTGTTTTTTATATTATGTAGAAAACCTGCTAACAGTAAAACAATTTATTTGATAATACATGTTACAGGTAATAATAGTTGAACTACTACAGAAATGCATGGCCGTAACTTTAAACATTTGTACAATATTGGGCTGTTACTATTAATATTATACTATTCTACTAATATTGTGCTATTTACCTGTACAGTCTCTATATACTTTTTTTGGTCACATATTTTATTCTTATTTGCAACCATTGCCTTTTTATTTAATCATGATTTGAAATGTAATTTACATCATATCGCCCATGTAAATTATTTTCCTACAAGAGCAAGTTTCTTAATGTTAGTGGAGCAGAACATGTACAGTGTGTACTTTTATTGTCCGAGGGTAAGGGGGTGAAAGTGCCAAAAACTGTAGTCAAACACAAGTTTTCAAGGCAATGGGCTATTGCTTCAAGATGCTTTTGCAATTAGTCTGTAACTGCAATTTATTGTTTCCACACTTCCTTTCAATCGGCTTCCTGGCAGGGCAGTTATTGGTCACTTCCTGGTTGTGTGCTTCGTGCTACTAGGTTAGCTCACTGAACAAAAGTCTGTCATTAAGCAGCAGCTCTCCCTCCTTCAGCTCAGTCAGGTGTGTGCTCATTAACAACTCATTCTTTGGCTCAGGAGGTGCAAGATTTGTACTGGGTAACTCACTGAACATCGCCAGAGGGACTCTGAGTAGGAAGTTAACCTGGCTCTTATGTGCAACTGTGCTGGTAGGATTCACTTCCACTTACAAATGGATCTAACTCATTCAAAAAGAAGGCTTCATTCATGAAGGTAACATCACAATATAACAAGCTAAAAAAACATAAATATAATGTCATATAATCAACTATTGACTTTTTGATGAAAAGTCATTTTGAGTAGCACAAGGGAAGTGGAACACAGACTGCATTGTTAACAGAGTGTAGTTAAGGCTGCAAAGAGGAAAACAAAGGGATGATTACTGTTGTGCTCTTTGAAGTGTGTTACCACCACTACCCATTCATACAGTATAAGATAACTAATGTTTAATTTCACAATTTTTACATTTAGGGATTCACAACACAGAAAGTTTGCAATGGCCAGGAGACCAGCTCTGTCCACTGCCAAAAGGAGAAAGATTTTCGTGGGAAGTGAAATCAATGACTCCCTTTCACTTTTGGATGTTGTCTATGCAAATCAGTTTGAAGGAGAGTTCATAGATCCTGAAGTTGTTGAAAATACGGAGGAAAACTTTTACAGAGGGGCCCCACCTATTTGGTTAAACTTTCATATTAGTGAGCAGGCAGAGTCAGACGGAACAGGAACTTCTTTCATCAAGCGAGATGGATATGATATACTTGTGCAACAAATTCGCAAAAGGAGAAAAGGGCCTGGAACATCGGCAATTAAATTGTTCTACCAACAAGGATGTGGGGGAACCACAATGGCAATGCAGGTGCTGTGGAACTTGAGGAAAACCTTCAGGTGTGCTGTTTTAACAGGCTCCACCTCAGACATCACAAAAGTTGCCAAGGAGGTGGTCCACCTTTTCACAGCTGGCAGTCGAGACAGCCACAACACGGTGTTACTGTTACTGAATGATGATTTCATTTTGGACAATCTCCAAGACAAAATTATGGAAGAGATTGCAAAACAGGAGATTGATATTGATATGCCTGTGGTAATTTTACTCAACTGTGTGAGAGCAAGTGACCACATCATCCTCAAAAAGGAGCGTTCTTACAATGTGAAACAAAAATTCAAGAGGAATATGAGAAAATATGTTATACTCAAAAAAAATCTCTCACACACAGAGGAACAAAACTTTAACAAGAAAAAGGAGGAGCTCAGCAAGAGATACGGTGAAAAATTAAAACATTTTCATGGCTTTAACATAATGCAAACTAATTTCTCTCCGGATTACATCAAGACAGCATGTGCTGTATTCAAAAACATCAAAAAAGCAAA